ACTAGCTTGGAATTCCCCAAGGAGCTGAGGATGACTTTGAACTCCTGATCCTCCTGTTTCTACCTCCCAAGTGCTGAGATTATAAAACCCATTCAAAATAATGGGTTTCAAGTTTTCACTGTATCCTTGCACCTTGCTCATGTTCCCACTTCACCTCCTTCCTCCCTGTCCCCCATCCATCCCACCATGCCTGTCCCCCATCCATCCCACCATGCCTGTCCCTCCTCCCACCTCGCCTGTCCCCCCTTCCACCTTCCCTGTCCCTCCTCCCACCTCCCCTGACCCCCTCTCTTCTGTTCCCTGGCTGGCACCTGTAGCTTTAATTTTCGACCTTCTGTTTCAGGTGAGGAGCTATGAGGCTGGAGGAGGTTAAGGGGATCACTTGAGGTCCCTGTCACCCACATCAGAAATTTACATATGCAACATCTGGCCTTGGGAACCAGGTAACTCTCAGAGCAGATGCCTTCAGGGGCCGCAGTCAGAATAGGTGGCCAACACTCCTGGAAGGCCCTTTCTCCAGCTCAACGGCTCAAGGTTGGTCCCACCTTCCCTCAGTGATTTCCTATCTGAAAATCTTGGGGCTCCCCCTTGAGGCGATGAGGTAAACTTCTGCCTGAGGCCTGGACTGAGACAGGCTGAACAGCACAGCAAAGGGCCCGTACAGCAAGACCTGGAGCTGAGAATTAGACCAGTGAGCCCGCCCTGTGCGGTCCAGGTCAGGTCCAGCCTGTGAGCTGCATGTCAAGGGCCCAGGGGACTCAGGGACCAGTCACTTCCCAGTGTGCTTCTCCGAATTTGCATTTAGACAAGACAGGATTTCCCTTGGCTTTTCCCAGAGCAACCATTCATTCAAGAATGTATTTTAAGGGCCTGAGAATTCTGTGCCGCCACTAGAACTGGGTCACATGACATTCAGAGGGCTAGCACTATTTGTAATAGCCAGAACCTGGAAACAACCTAGATGCCCATCAATGGAAGAATGGATTAAGAAAATATGGTACATATACACAATGGAGTACTACTCAGCAGAGAAAAACAATGAAAGCATGAAATTTGCAGGCAAATGGGTGGAACTAG